ATTGTGTGTTCAAGCAAAGCTCTAGCAGAAATAGAGGACTCTACCTGTCCCAGAGTTCCCTAGACCTGCTTCCATAGGAGTTTACCCTGAATAACACCAAAATCCAGCCTCACAGTAGCTCTCTCCCTCTCGACCAAAGGGGCAGGCTGAATTTTGATAACAGGCCTGCTAAAGAAGTTCCACTCCCAGATCCTAAAAAAATCACGAACAAGGTGTACCCTTGTGACAGCCTAACAGCGCCATCTGCAGTTGTCAGCTAAGATTGCAATAAATCCATGCTTCCTGCTAATTTGTGAAGACTGCACGTTGTTAATGAGAAAAGAAAACAAAGAAATACTAAATTGAAGTCAGAGAGCCCTCAAAAGTCTTCTGGGTCCTAGAACAGAAGCAAACATAGCTTTCACGGTGCCTAGGAAGATCTAAGGACCTTCGCTGGCTATAAGTTCAATGAGCAACCAAAAAAGCTAGTAAATTCTAAAGATTGCTTCATTTAATGGATGATATATTGTCCAGACCTTGAGAACTTAATAGCCTCACAACACCCTGTTCTGTCTGAGCACATCTGAAAATTGCGTTTAGTTCTGGGCACAATTTAAGAGCAATATTGACAAAAACCATAAAAATGTTCATACCCTTTGACCCAGTAATTCCACCCATGGGAATTTATTCTGAAATAATTCAAGAGAATAGATGAATTAGAAGCATGAAGATATTGATGCAGCATTTTTATAACAAATATATCCTAAATGTCTCCTCAAAAGAGAATATCACATAACATTAAAATATAATGTGTTATTTGAAAAAATAAAATATAAAATGTATAATGATAACACATGCCACAAGAATGAATCTTGAAAACATTACACCAAGTGTTAGAAGCCAGACATAAAGGGAGACATATTGTATGATTCTGTTTATATAAAGTGCCCAGGATAGGCAAATCTATAGAGACAGAGAGTAGATTAGTAATTGCCATGGGATAAAGGCTCTGAGGTTTCTTTCTACAGTGGTGAATATGTTCCAGATTTAGCTGTACATGATGAATGCATAGTACAACCCTCTAAATTCTGTGCTTTATTTTTTTTTAAGATTTATTTATTTATGCATACAAGTGTAGTCCAGAGGTACAGGGAAGTGAGAGGATTCACTAAAGACAGTGTCCAGGGCAGAGGAGGGCAGAACAGGCGAGTCTACTAAGATACACTGCTGAGGGGAGCAGCGGGGAGACAGGAGAGGTCGGTGCCCCATGTGGGTCAGCTCCCTGGCTGGGGATCAAATTGGTGCTGCAATGGCTGCTGACAGCTTCATAGTACTGAGACTTAACCCCTTACACCACCAGGGAGGCCCTAAATTCTATAGCTTAAAACGATGAATAAAAAATAAAAGGGTGAATTTGATGGTATGTGATATATATCTCAATGATATAACATATACACAAATTTAAAATTTTCATATATATGTTTATGAGTCAGTTGGGGGAAAAAATATCAAAATGTCCTTGATATGATTCAGTTATATAAAAGCTAATTATACACATTTGTTGATGAGGCCTAGAAAAGAACATGAATAAATGAAAGCGGCTTGTTGCAGGAGAGAGAATTTTTTTATTTGGGGGGGCGGGGCGGGGCATGGCTATTATACTGTTCTCCAGAAATTAAAGATTTTCTTCCCAAGACATGTCCACAAGAGGGCAGGCACAAGATGACGAAAGAACCCATTGAACACTAGTCTGGGTTGAAAAATGAAGAACCCAGAATCCAATGTTGCAACAATCTTAAAGGTAAGTGAAGTCCAACTTCCTTACACTTCCTTTCTCACCATTTTCTTCCTCACATACAGGACTGAAGTGGCCCAGTAGGGAAGGCTGGTTGCACGTGAGGCAAAAGAACCCACCATCCTCTTTAGGTCCAAGTGAGTGCTTCCTTACACCAGGGGATGTGGAGGGCGCTCCCTGGTGGCGCAGCAGGTTAAAGTGCAGCACTATGAAGCTAACGCAGCCACTGCAGCATGAGTTCGATCCCCGACCCCGGAGGTGACCCACATGGCGCAGCAGACCTCTCCTGACCCGCCCGCTGCTCCCCTTAGCAGTGTACTTCGTCCATCTGCCTGTTCTGCTCCCACTCTGCCTCTGGTGAATCCTCTCACAGCCCCCACCCCCCATGTCATTTCAGTACCTGTTACCAGGCCAAGGCTAAAAGAATGATGAACTCCAAACACATTTTAATCAGTCTTCTCACTAAGAAGTATATTTTATTCAAAATTTTCCTCACTTGTTACCTAATGTTGCAGTCAATACCCATAAAACCCTCTCCTGTGGAAAGCTTCATGCCAACTCACACCACAGTGACCGAGGTGGATACAGACCACCCACACTACTGTACCTCACAAACTAGAACTACCTCTGCTTGTCTGCAGAAGAGGACTGAGACTCCAGAAGTCAAGGACTGAAATAAATCTACCAGAAGACGACAGAGTTCTGGAGGAAGAAGCCTCAAGGGGAAGGGACCACCTCCCAGGCAGTTGCTGTCTCTTTTCAGTGCAATTCATCTCACCCTTCTGTCACTGCAGAGGTTCCCTGTCCCACCCCAAGAAAGGGTGGAACTGGGCAAGGAGGTGAAGCTAGGGTTTATAACAGTGTGAAGTTAAAAAGAGACTGGGGAGAAGAAAAAGTACTGAGAGAAGCAGAAGAAGCGGAGAGAAATGGAGGAAGGCCTGAGGAGGCACGTAGAGCGGAGACCTGAAGAAGCCCTTGCTTCTCGGCCTTGGGCTTGAGCCAGGCACCTGGGGATACTTCAAGGAGACAGAGACGGGGGTGAGGGGCCTGGGGAGGCTACAGCGGCAGCCTCTGTCTTGACTTGGATTTTGCTTTTGCTTTTTCCTTTCAGACTCACCTGGCCCTTCCGCCCCTCTCCTGCGGGCCCCACCAGGAGGTGCCCTGGATGCGTGGCAGCTCCCCGGCCTCAGAACTGGGGTACAGGCCAGAGGCTCAGGGCCGGTGAGAGGCTTTACCAGAGACAGTGTGGGGAACAGAACAGGCAGATTGACGAAGTACACTGCTGAGGGGAGCAGCGGGCGGATCAGGAGAGGTCTGCCGCGCCATGTGGTCACCTACGGGGCAAGCGGGAATCGAACTCATGCAGAGGCAGCTTCAGATTCTCAGTTCTGTGCTTTAACCTGCTGTGCCACCAGGGAGAGCCCATAGACTATTTTTTATATATCCCTATATAATTTTACAAATATAATCCTACATAACATGTTAATAGATTATAATAACCTATGAAAATGCCTCATTAAAATTCCATGAGATAATTTCACAAATAGTTTATAGTGTTTTTCAAAGGAAATTTATAAAAGTTTTTGGCAACAATTTTTGGCAACTATTAAAAGGTATAAAATTTAATTTGTCCTTGAAATCATGATATGTAAATCCAGTGGCAAAAGTTTAGGTTTTTTAGCATGTGAATGCTAAGGAAAAAAAAACTACAAATTTTATTCCTCCCACTTGATCTGACCTTTTTTTAAGTCTGTACAGAATATTAGCCAAGATAATACCACTTTTTAAAGTACATATACTACTCAGAGTTCACTTCCCCAAAAAGGGAAGTGTGAGGGATACATACACAAATGAGGAAAAGTAGTTACCTAATTTTAACATCATGTTTTTAGTCTCCAGTCTTCCTGATGTATCCTGGGGTATTCCTTCCATAGTTGGCTAATTACCTGGGGATTAGATAAGGTCCCCTGCAATGCTCAAGCTACTGGTTCTCTAGGGTCTCCCAAAACCCCTGCACGAGCACATGAGATATAAAACCATGAATTTTTCCATGAGCGCCAATAAAACAATGTCACTTATTCCTTATTTTTATGTTCATTTACCCCTTCTTCAATATCCCAATGTATCCCAATGTAGAGTTTCCCTGGTGGCGCAGGGGTTAAGGCTCAGCACTATGAAGCTATCGGCAGCCACTGCAGCACGAGTTCCATCCCTGGTCAGGGAGCGACCCACATGGCGCGGCAGACCTCTTCTGACCCGCCTGCTGCTCCCCTCAGCAGTGTAGTTCAGTCCATCTGCCTGTTCTGCTCCCCACTCTGTCTCTGGTGAATCCTCTCATCCTCTGTACCTCTGGCCTGCACCCCAACTCTTGCATGCATAAATAAATACTTTTTTTAAATCCCAATGTACCCTACACCAACTATGACACTTCAAAACAGTGAACAAAGCACTTTGATATCTGTGCACCTGTGTCATTTCTGCCAGCCAGACAATAACTCCTAGGGAACAGGTGTACAGCTCAGAATCAGACCCCAAATTATGAGAAGGCCTGAGACTCTAGCCATTCCATCTACCTGTGTAAAGTCTATGGATTTTCCTTCAAGCAGAAAAGTCTGAAGAAGGGAACTACATCTCACAGTTAAATAACCTTCCACTCTCACTTATACCTGGGGAGGGGTAAAGGTGTATAGTCTCTAAAAGACATTTTATTGATTTTATAATGTGTCTTTCATTTTACTATCTGGTTTTAAGAAAAAAGTCAGAGGCCTCTCTGGTAACGTAAGGGTTAAGTCTCAGCACTATCACCATGACAACAGCTTAACTTCAATCTATCCAGGGAGGTGACCCACATGGCACAGCAGACCTCTGTCTCGACCCCCACTGACCCCCTCAGCAGGGTATTTCAGTCAATTTGCCTGTCATGCTCCCCACTCTGCCTCTGGTGAGTCCCCTATCCCTCGCCCCTCCTCTGGCCTACACCCTGGTTCTTCTATGCAAAAATAAATAATAAAATCTTTAAAAAAAGAAAGAAGTCAGAATTCAGGAATTCAAAACACAAGTATATTCTTCTACCACAGTAGCTCTCTCTCACTTTAAGATTTTCTCATCTCCACTGCAAGCAGTCTCTTCATGCTACTGGAATGTCCTACATGGGCAGAACTGGGCTGGGACAAGCTTCCCTGCTCTGCCCGGAAGAGTCCCTCCTCAAGGGAAGCGTCTTCTCATCTCAGGACCCCCTGGGCTGATTCAGGACTTCATAAGCAGCCCGAATCTCCAAGAAGTGCTTCTGAGCTTCCTCCGCCCTGTGCCGGTTATGGTCGGGGTGCCAGGTCTTCACTAGCTCCCGGTATCGGCGATGTATTTCTTCATTTGTTGCCCCTTCTGGGAGACCAAAAACCTTAGGGAAAGCCGAAGTTGACAAGTTAAAATCCGATAAATTGTCAGAGAATCCAGGCCTCTCTGTGCTAAGTCAGAAGTTGGTTATCTCTGGAACTGACTTCTACTTGCCTGTGGGAAAGCCTATCCATTTCCCAGCCTGGAACTTCATAACACTGATAAAAGCGCCTGCTTACAAGAGAAGTAAACATATATGTCCACCACAGACATGGACAAGAATGTTCATAGCAGTTAAATTAAGAATAGCCCCCAACTAGATTCAACCTAAATGTTCCCTGGTGGCAAGCAAGGGGTTAAAGCACAGCTCTATGAAGCTGTCTGTAGACACTGCAGCATGAGTTGGGTCCCAGCCAGGGACCCACAGGGCACAGAAGACTCTCCTGTCTCAGCCACTGCTCCCTCAGCAGTGTATTTCAGTACATCTGCCAGTTCTGCTCCCCACTCTGTCTCTGGTGAATCCTCTCACCCACCCTCCACACACACCTCTGGTTTGTACCTCAGTTCTTGTATGCATAAAGAAATAAATCTTTTAAAAAAAAACAATAGAGTGGGTGGGTAAATGGTGGTATAGTCATATAATGGGATTCTATAGGACAGTGAAAGCAATTTGCAATGCATGCAACAGTATGAATTATCTCATGAAAATAATGTTGAGTGAATGAAGTCAGACACGAAATGGCATACACTACATGATTCTACGTCTATGAAGTTTAAGAATGGGCAGACCTGATTTTTGGTATTAGAAGTCAGCACAGCGGTTACTGCAGAGAAAAGGCACCATAGATTGGGATGGCACAAGGGAAGCTTCTTAGTGCTGGAAATATTCCCTGCCTTGATCTGAGCAGTGGTTACAGAGGTTTATACATAAAATTGGTGCATTTTATATATGTTATGTGATAAGAAGGAAATCTTTGAGCCACTCATTATCGAAGCCCCTCCACCTTCACCCAAACAAGCTAGGACATCCTTCTGGGGGCTAACTAGGTAGGATCGCAACAGGACTTCCACACAAGGGCACCAGCTCTTGGTTAGCCTAACTCCCGGAATCACCCCAGATAGAACCAGAGGGAAGAGCACCTTACCTGGTAAGCCAGCTGATGCTTCTCATCCTGAAAACTGTGAACGAACTCATAGAGCTTCTCCCACTCCTGGAAGGAGCCACTGCTGAAATAGGGTTCCCCCACCAGCAGCCTCCAGACCCGATAAGGCAAAAGGAAGACAGACTCCAAGCAGCGGCCAAGGAGAGGGAAGAAACTGAACCAACTCAAGAAGAAGCCAAGGGTCTCTGCCACATAGGTGAGGGTGGCAGCTGTGTTGCAGAGGACACTGTATGCCAGGGGCCCCGTGAAAGCAAGGTAAGCTAACCCCAGGCGATAGAGCCGCACACTGAGGGTCTCGGACACAGCAGCTTTGTAGCGACGGTGCTTCTGGGCTGTGATGCTGGCAGCCAAGCTGATGGGGAAAATGGCGATGGGGCGGCCATAAAAGATCGGGGAAGTAAGAAATGCTGCCCCTAGTGTGTTCTTAAAGTCTGAGGTCTGGTTGCCAACGGCAGCCACCAGCAAGACTCCCAAGCCCACTGCCAGTGGGAGGCCCACAACATAGAAATTGGCCATGAAAGAAAGACTGATGAGGGCCACGAGACCAAAATACACACCCACAACCACCTGGGCTACAAAACGAATGGGACTCAGAGGGGGTGTCGCTCCTGAGCGCTGCCTCGGACCCTGGGCTCTGTTAGCCTGAGCTACAAAGCTTGGGAGCTTCCAGAACTCCCAGAGCCAGCCCAGGCCACCGCCCCCCAGGGTAAGCATCCAGAGCAGAGCGTGGCTGTCCCGCCCCAGGTACAAATGGTGGAGCCCGGCAGGGCCCCCTATCGCCCAGAGGGCATAGGTCACTAGGAGCCCCTTGGCCATTCTCTAGGGTAGGGCCTCAGAACCAGTCCAGTGACACTTGACATTGCTCACAGTGCAGAAATCTGGGGTCCTCTGTGAAAATCATGGCGGTCATGGCCCCAGAGTTATCCTTATGCCTTAAGAAATGGGGAAAAAGCAATGGTAAGACCACTTGCAGGACCCAATGCCATAGACACTTCTCCTTCCTTCCACTTAAAATGGGCTCCGATATTCCGGCATGGCACTGAAATGCCGATTTCCCCACATCCTCAGGTCTGTTTCTGACAGCCACAGTAATGCCACTTGGGGGTGAGGGCGTGGAGAAGAATGTTTTAAATGCTCTCAGATCAGTAACTGAAAACTCGGCACACAGGCAAAAACCCAGACGGTTAAATTTCAGACCTCCCCTCAGAACACGGACCCCCAGATGCCGATGGGGCAGGAGAGCAAAAGGAAGACCCTTCTAACGTACCCACACATTTTAAAGGTCCCCTACCCCAACCCTCATTTCTGACTATAGCTGTCCTCAGACTCGTCGCCAACGTGGTGACCCCTCTCCAGCAGTCCCCTTCTCCACAGGATAAAATCTTCCCACAAGCCAAACTTGAAAGAAGTCCTCAATTCCCTCTACTTAGACAGCTCTGGAAAACTACGTTTCGACCTAGACCCTGGCATCCCACATTTCACCTCCCCCCCCCCAAGGCAGACTTGGAGTCTTTTCAAGCCGATGCCAGCTAGAACCTGCTAGTCCCAGGGTGAGCGGCCGTACCTGGGTACCCCGGCTCCTAGACCCGATCATTTCCTTTGACCACAAAGTCAAAATGGCCCCTCTGGCTGCAACCACTGCCACCCAAATGGACTTTGACTTTCTGTGTTAGCCGTGTCAGGAAGTGGGGCCGGCCTTCTGGCCAGGCTCCTCCCCAAGGCCCTCCCCGTCCCCGGGGATCACCTTCAGCCTCCGGCTCCTCTAGCCTTCCAGGTCTGGCTCTCTACGCCGTCAGCCGCCCAGGCTTGGAGGGGCTCGATGGGGCTCACCCTGGCCCCAGGCGCGCCTGCCCCACATCACCACCAGGTGGCGCTGCCGTTCGCGGACGGGCGGGGTCGGGCGCGTCCCCAGACTCACTTTGCCTAAATGCCAGGGCTAAGCCGCCCTGAACGCTTCTCTTAAGTGCAAAACCGAAACAACTCCCACCCCGCCGAAAAAAACCAGGCCGTTGAGTGCCCCTCACAAAGAGAGGATGTTTCTTGCCTCCCCTCTGGCCACACTCTCCTCTTTCTCCACGCGTGCCCTTCACGATTACCTTAGATGACCCCACCGTCAATTCCTCTAAGACAGACACCCGCTGACAGCCTGCACACAGAGGGGACCAACCCCCCCCCCACACACACACACAGCTGAGCTTGCCTATTGCCCGCCTCCAAGTCTGCCAGTCAGAGGGCATTAAATCGAGATCTGAGCCTGAGACCTATAGACCCTCCCGGTCCAGGGGGAGCCACGAGTCTGCTATATCCTGAGGGCTGCAGGCCACAGAACGGGACAAATTAAAAGAGAGAGAGAAAAAAATCGGGCAAAAAGTTTAGCGTGTGAGGGGGGCATCCAGGCTCTTGCCAGAAAAGCTAGGCCATAGCCCTCCAGTAATCTGCCATCCTCCCACGCCGGGTGAGGGGTCGGGGGCGGGGTACCTAGTGACTTCGTGTCAAGGTCCTGGGCGCTGAGGGGTCGGGGGCGGGGTACCTAGTGCCTTCGTGTCAAGGTCCTGGGCGCTAGTCCTGGTTCTGCTGTTTCTTGACCTTGCCAAGTCACACGGCTCCTTAGGCCTGCCTTCTCCTCTGTAAGGGAAAAGCTGGATGGCCAACGTCCCCAGCCTTCACTTGAGGATGGGGTGAGCCTGGAGCGCCTTCCCCAGGCCACCTCCCCCAGTTCGGCAGGGTGCTTCAGTTCCCCCCTACACACTTCCAGGCCCCCAGTTCTGATCAGGGCCTGGAAGGCAATGCGGCTCACCTTAGTTCCGCTAGGGCTCATTGAGGGGGAAGGGTTGGGAGGGACCCCAAAGCTGGAGCTGTCAGCTCGGGGCGGGGGCGGACAGGGGCGTTGAATAATGAATGAAACTTAATTGGGCCCGCACTGCGCGGCGGCGAGCTAAGCTCGGCAAACAGAACAGGCGGCGGCGGCCGCCAGTGGACAAACAAACTAGCTCCGGGCTCCCGGCGCGGGGTGAGGGAGGTGGCGGCGGAAGGCAGAGGGAACGGGCAGCCTGCTCCGCACCCCCCGGGCCCGGAAACCGGGAGTGCGGGGCCGCGCGGGCCTGCAGGGCGTGGGGCAGGCTCGGGGCTCCATGGCAGCTGGCGAGGACCGCAAGGAAGAGAAGCGGACGGTGCGGTGGGAGCGAGGGCCCCTCGGGCGACCGAAGCGCAAGGGAAAGATGGAGAAACGAGTGGAGGGTTGAGGAGAGATGGAGAAGTGAGAGGGGAAAGCGCACCGGGGAGGCCCTGGGGCGGGGGCTGGAGAGGAGCCGTTGCCCGAGGAAAGGGAAGACCGATGGAGGAACGAGCGAGGCAGGCGCGAGGGGCCCGGAGAAGGATTGGAGAAGAGTCAAGGAGAGGGACTGGAGGTGACCGGAATGAGAACGAGCGGCGGCGAGGCGGGCGGGGGGCGCCGGGCCTCCCCGCGCCCAGCCGCGCTCCCGCCCCGGCGCGCTCTCCGCCGCCCGCGCTCACTTTGTCACAATTACGAGGCCGTCACTCGGCCCGGATTGTTTTCCCCAAATTGTTGTTCTATAAACTGGCGCGTGGTGGAGAATGGGGGGCGGGGGGGGGGACCTGACGGTTTGAAGCGGGAGGGGAGAGGCTGAGCTTGGGGAGGGGCCGGGTGCGGCGTTTACCCGCAGCAGACCCGGCGGGCAGGTGCATCCAGAGACCAGAGCGGGGATTCCAGGCGCCGATCCGGCTTTTAACCTCCCTGGCCCGTCTCTGCCTCGATTGCCTCGATTTCTCCAACAGAGAACTGCGGACTGGAGGCCGGGAGCGACCGAGGCGCCTGTAGGTGGGGCCCAAACTTCCCCGCCCGCCCGTTCTCTTTTGTTCCTCACTACCCTGGGCCCCCGCAGCGGGGTCTACCCAGCCCGGCCGCCCCCAACGCCCCTCGGGTGCCCCCTGGCCCCGCGGACAGGCCGGGCTCCCACCCGCGCCAGGTCTGAGCCGCCCTCGGCTCCGCCTGCGCCCTGCAGCTCCCGATTCCGTGTCGCTAGGTGTCCCAAGCCACCTTGCTGTCCCTCGATTCCGCAAACATCTGTTGCGCGCCCACTGGGAGCCAGAGCCGCGCCAGCCTCCTCCCCTCCCCCAGCCGCTCCCGCCGCCCGCCCCGGCGCGTCCAGCCCGGCCTGTCGGCTTCGTGACAGCCGCCGCCGAAGCTTTGGCCCCGCGGGAGCGGCCGGAGAGGAGCCGCCGCTTGGCTGGCTCCGACACCGGCCTCCCCGGCGGCTCCAGGGGCAACGGAGGGTGGCGACCGCCGAAGCGAGACAGGAGCTGGCCCGCCAGAGTTGGCAGAGCTGGGGGAGCGGGTGGCGCGGGGGAGGGGAGTCCTCGGGCCGGCTGGTCTCCGGCTTTCCCAGGCTGTGGGTCTCCTCATTCCTTCGCCCAGGGGCCCAGCCTGTGCCGGGACCCCGCCGAGCTTGCTGCCTGGGACGCGGTTGGCTCCCCGCGCCCCCTCCCCCAGACCGGGTGATTTACACGCGGGCTTGGCGCAGCGGCCGCTTCCCAATCAGGAATATCGACCCCGGGCGGGGGCCCCCGGGCCCGCATCGATCCCTCTAAGGCTCGGGATTTAAAAATGTCAAATTTGCCTTTTCCAGGCCGGCGGAGGGAGCGGGGGGCCTGGAGGAGGGCGGCTTGGAGCGGGTGGTGGACAGCGGGGCATCGACCAGGCTCCTGTGCCCTGCATGAGAAGCGACCTGGCCGTGGCCTCCTCCTGACACTGTGTGACCATCCTTGGGTGGCAGAGAGGAAGGAAGGAAGCTCTACTTCCTCTTGCCACCCCCGTGGGTCTCCCTGTTGCATTGAGCAGTCCCATTGGAAGAGGCTCCAGAGGCACCAAAGACAGGTCCAACATGTAGGGATACAAATTTGGAAGCGATCCTGACATGCGAGGGGATATGTAGAAGAGGGGTGCAGAAAAACAAAGATATAGAACCTCCAGGAGATACCCTAGCTATATGGAAGAACAACGCAAAGGGAAAGTGCCTGGAAGACACTACACAGAACAGAGGGCCAGAAATCCAGAGACTCCCCAACTTTGCCTGTAGACCCAGCCGGTTCAGTACTGGGAAGGAGGCCAGGCGCAATTTTTTTGGTGTGTTTGAGAGTAGGAGAGGAGAGTGTAGGCAAAGTGAGGTGAGAAAAGACATTTATTCGGAAGAGGAATTAGAATAAAATTAGCGTTATCCTCCCGGGCTGTCAACTAGCAACTGGACTTGAGATACAAAAGGTGAAGGTCCCAGGGTCTCAGAAGAAATGGCCCAGAACTCCCTTAGAGTTCTGATGGTCTGCCCCTTCTCTTCCTGAAACTCACCCTCCTTCTCCCTGACCCCACCCATCTTGGGGGGGGGGGCTCAGATAGGCTAAGGATCTCATCTTATATTGATGATGGGTTGTGTGTGCGGTGGAGAGTGTGTGTATGTGCAGGGGTGTGAGACTACATAAAGCCCAAGACTCAGCTGTGAGTCTCCAGACTTGGAAATCAACATGTACCATTTTCAGGACGCTTGGAAAAGAGATGTTTGCAGTGGAGATGAAGGAGCAAGAGCATTGTCACAGTCTGTATCTGTGCCCCACCCATAGCAGCACACCTCAGCTGTCACACTGTGCTCACTGCCATTTCCTTCAGAACTGAGCCAGAGAGCTGGCTGACAGCAAGTGGTGTGTGTCGTACTGGGGCAGACACACACAGGGAGAAGCAGTGGCTCGTCTTGAGACACACAGCATACTTCCTCTGACAAAATCAAGCTGACAGATACCTTGCACTG